TTCATCTTTGTGAAGTTTGTCGGTGGTACTCATTGGATTTCGCACAGGTTTGGTCATTTCAAGTCCAAACTTTTTGACTAAATCTTTTGCATACTTGGTTTGTGAAAGAAACATGCCATTCTTCATTTGTTGTACCTGCAAACCAAGAAAATAATTCAATTCACCACACATACTCATTTCAAACTCATTTTGAATAACATGAGTGAACTCAACAACCAAACTTTCAGAAGTAGAACCAAAAACAATATCATCTACATAAACTTGTGCAACAATTAAATCACTGTTAACCCTTTTGACAAACAAGGTTTTGTCAATGGCACCCCTGATGTATCCTTTCTGCAAAAGATGACTTGACAAACGCTCATACCAAGTCCGAGGAGCCTGTTTCAGTCCGTACAGAGCCTTTTTTAGTCTATACACGTGGTCAGGGTGGGAAGGATCTTTGAAGCCTGCGGGCTGTTCAACATATACTTCCTCTCTAAGGAAGCCATTAAGAAATGCACTCTTGACATCCATTTGATACAACTTGAACTTAAGGTGACATGCCACAGCTAGCAGTAATCTCACTGATTCCAAACGCGCCACCGGAGCAAATGTTTCATCAAAATCAAGCCCTTCAACTTGAGTGTAGCCTTGTGCAACGAGCCTTGCTTTGTTTCTGACTACATTCCCTTTCTCATCTGTCTTATTTCTAAAGATCCATTTGGTACCAATGGTATTGGTGTCTTTTGGACGAGGAACAAGGTACCAAACATCGTTACGAGTGAACTGATTAAGTTCCTCTTGCATGGCATTTATCCAATCATTATCCACAACTGCTTCCTTGACATTTTTGGGTTCAATTAAAGACACATAGCACACAAAATTGATCTCTTCAGCCACTTGTCGCCTAGTCTTCATCTTGTCATCCAAAGAACCAATAATGTCAATGGACTTGTGATCTCTTTGAACTTGTTTTGCACCAGTTTGGAGTGATTGAGATGAAGTGTGATGAACATCATTAAGAGCTGCATCAACTGATTCTCTTATATGAGTTGAATCATGATTATGCCCATCATCTTCATCAACTTGCAAACCATCATTCACCCTTGTGTCCTGCACACTAGAGTCATCAATCACAACATTTATGGATTCCATAACACCCTTTGTACGTGAATTGTAAACTCTATATGCCTTACTTGTCAGAGACTAACCAAGGAAAATTCCAATATCACTTCGTGCATCAAATTTTGCCAAATTCTCCCTATCCTTATAGATGTAACAAGTGCTACCAAACACACGTAAGTGACTCACATTTGGTTTCTTACCTTTCCACAGCTCATATGGTGTACATTTAGTTCCAGGTCGAAGAAAAACTTTGTTGGCTGTATAGCATGCTGTGCTGATTGCCTCAGCCCAGAAATACTTAGCCATATTTGATGCGTTAATCATAACTCGTGCCATGTCTAATAACACTCTATTCTTCCTTTCAACCACCCCATTTTGTTGGGGGGTGATAGGGGCAGAGTATTCATGCTGAATTCCATGTTTTTCACAAAAATTAGAGAATGATGCATTGTCAAACTCAGTTCCGTGGTCTGTTCTAATTCTAATGACAACATCATTTCTTTCAGTTTGAATCTTAAAGCACAAAATATGGAATGATTTGAATGCTTCAGACTTATCATGCAAAAATGCAACCCATGTGTAACGAGAGAAATCATCGACTAAAACAAGTATGTACTTTTTACCTCCCAAACTCTCTGTTTGCACAGGACCTACCAAATCCATGTGCATCAATTGAAGTGGCTGTGAGGTCGAAATGAAATTCTTTGGGCTATGTGCACTTTTGGTTTGCTTACGAATCTGACATGCGCCACACACACCTTCTTGTTTACCTTCTAGAGATGGTAGACCTCGTACATATTGCTTTTTGGATATTTTCAACAAATCCCTGTAATTCATATGTCCTAGCCGTTGATGCCACAAATCCAAGAGATTGTTGCTTGCCCTGAAACACACATTAATTTGATTAGCATTAGCACAATAGCAATTGTTTTCAGATCTAGGTCCACACAACACTTTTTCACCAGTTTCTTTGCTAACAACACATTTAGCTGAATCAAAATTTACATTCCCAATGTCATCACATAGTTGACTAATGCTCATCAAGTTAGCAGTAAGCTTATCAACCAACAACACATTATGCAATTCAGGTAGTCCAATGGTTTTGACAGTACCCTTACCGATTATCGTTGCTTTCTTACCATCACCAAAGGTTACAGAGCCACTTACCTTTTCTTCTGTAAGAGTATCAAACCATTTACGATTACCTGTCATATGCCTGGAACATCCACTATCAAAATACCAAGTGTCAGAATCACATGAAGATAAAGCAGTAAAGGCAACTAAACACTTGATGTTTGATTCGTCAGACTCAATGACTCGAGTAAGCAAACAACAATGATTTTCTTTTCTTCTCCAAATTTGATTAGTTGAAGTTGATTTAGCTCTCCAAATACGTTTCATTTTAGGCATGTAAGTATTAGGAATTTTAACTAACTTAGAAAGTCTGCCAACTTCTTTCAAGAGATTTGCAAATTGAGACTGCAGGTTACCTGATGTCGACTTACCATAACTCATATTCCTTTTGTCACACAAAGGTCTTATGTGACCTTTCTCACCACATGCATGACAGGTTAGATAAGCTTTGGAACCTGCGATATTCGTGTTAGTACCCTTCACAAACTTTGTTTCTGAAGAAGAAGAATTAGGATTAGATACATATCCTAAACCAGATTTATCACCACTTGGTTTACACATATTAAGCATTTTGTCTATTTTCTCTGCACCAATGGTTAATCTGTGAATTTTGCTTTGTGACTCATGAAGCTGATATTTAAGTGTGTCACGTTCAGTAGATAGTGAAGTGATTAACTTGTTCTGATCGCTTATTCTATCCCTTAGTTGTTGCAGTTTTTGAACCATACCATCAAGTTGTTTTTCCAATTCATTTACCTGAGACTGAAACTCGTTTTCAGTCTTTGTCTTCTCAGATTCTAGAATTTTCGCCTTCTCTTTTAGCACATCATTTTGCTTCTTGATCTTCAGAGAGGCTTGGTACAACTCCTGGTACTTTTCAATAACTGTTTCGTCATCCCAGTCCTTGGTTTCATCTAGTCCTGCATCAACATGAGCAACAAAAGCAATAATAGTAGACTCTTCATCAGATTCACTTTCAGACTCACTCCAAGAAGCTAGCATTGCTTTGTTTTTTTCAGTCTTCATCCTCTTTAGAGTGTTTGCACACTCCTTAGCTTCATGACCATATCCTGAACATTCATAACATTTTCTCTTGTCAGTAGGATATTCAATTTTATCAACCTTAGAGTTTTTTCCAAATGAAAAGTTAGGTTTAACATTTTTCAATGTCGAACCAGATTTTCCTCTAAAATTTTTGTTCTTTAAAAACTTTTGAAATTGCTTAGTCAATAAGGCAAATTCTTCCTCACTAACCCCCTCATCCTGATCATAATCTTCCTTCACCGCATGTAAAGCAATGCTTTTGCTTTTCTTAGGTTGAGGTGGCAATTCCATTTCATAAGTCTTTAAAGCACCAACCAATTCAGAAAGCTTTAAGGTTTTTAGATTTCTTACCTCTGTGATGGCAGTTTTCTTTGGTTGAAATCTATGAGGTAAGGATCTTAATACCTTTTTGACTATTTGAGACTCAGGAATTGTCTCACCAAGACTATAACAATTGTTGACAATTTCACACAGCTTTGCATAGAACTCAGGAAAGGTCTCATCTTCTTCCATCTTAATTCTCTCAAATTGTGAAGTGAACACTTCAAGCTTTGCCTCTTTCTCTGTTTATGTTCCTTCATATGTATCCTGCAAAATGTCCCATGCTTCCTTGGAAGTTTCACAGTTACGTATGAAAATAAATTGATTAGGAGAAACAGCAGTAAATAAAGCATTCAACCCTCTTTGATTATTAGTGGAGTGTGTGACCTCAGCAATAGTCCACTCTTCCCTAGGTGTAGGAACAACAACTTCACTAACATCATCTACTACATCTTTGCTATCAGAAGACTTCTTTTTGTTATTAATTTGAACAATTTTTGTGGGCGAAGTATACCCATGGACCACTGTACTCCAAACCCTATCATCTAAAGCCCATAAAAAAGACTTCATCTTTGCTTTCCAATCTCCATAATTCTCCCCATTGAAATATGGAGGGTGAGAGACAGAACCAACAGCCTGATCCATCCCACGTTCCCTGGGATCCACTCTAAGTGTATCTAGAGACCTGCTCTGGTACCAATTGAAAGTGTAAAGTAAAACCAAGAATTCAAACTAGAAGATTGAATGTCAATTTTAAACCCAGTCTATGTAAAGAACTTATAAAGACAAAGCAAAATCACAAGAAAATACCAAACACACAAGAATTAGCTTTACAAGGGGAAAAACCTCAGAGAGGAAAAACCCTTGGGCAAGATTGCCAACAAATAATCCACTAAGATAAAGGTGAAGACTTTACAAGATTCATACGAGACCCAGGTACACAACCTATTAAGCCTTGTCCTCTCAATCTTGAACGTCTGATGCACACAACATGATTGCACACAGCTGGATTTGAACGCAGTGCAAAACAGCTTCCTTTGCTCACTCAAATGTAATATGAATAATTTGCGTTGTGAAAGCGTGTCCTCCTCTGATTGTGAAGGACCTATTAAATAGGTGACCTTACCCCCTTTTCTCGGACTACCAATCCCTTCATTTTCTCCAGCAATCAATTGATGTGATTGCCATTATCTTTGACCGGCCAATCTAATCCAAAAGGATTGGACTAATAAAACTAATTGACATGAGATCTTGTATGATAATTACAAGATCAATTACATACTTGATTAAATATCAATTACAATTTGTCTAGAAAATAAGCCAAATTAAATCACATTTACAGAGACAGACAAGGTGCTTCTTTGATGCATGCAGGTGTGCTCCTAATCAGCAAACGAGACCATCAGGGATTTCTGATATACCACTGCGACTGAGGTTTGGTACTTCCAAAGATATCAAACTGACAGTGCCGAAAGGTAATTCTTTGAGTTTCTGACAGGCATAAAAGTTGAGAGTTACAAGATTTTTTAAATTGTAGATGCTGCTTGGGACAACCTCAAAGTTCCCGCAAAGATGGGATCTAATGTTTGAAGCCCAATTAGATTATCAATCGAACAAGGAAGCTTTTTAACCGCAGTCCCTTTGAAACAAAGAAACTCCAGATGTTCCATTGGCTCCAATATTTCTGGGAAGTATTCGAATCTAGAGCAACCAGAGAGATCAAGTCCCTCAAGACATTTCAACTTACAAATGCTCGTTGGGAGACTTTCAAGCCTTTTGCAACCTTTTAATTGAAATGTTTTGAGAACAGGGAGAAATTCGATTGTTGAGTGTAGCTCTTTAATAGCTGTTTCTTCTGAACTAAGAAACTCCAAATGTTCCTTTGGATCCAAGATGACTGGGAAGTATTTAAATCTAGAGCAACCAGTGAGATCGAGTTCCTTAAGAGAATTCAACTTGCAAATGCCAATTGGGAGAATCCCAAGCTTTTGGCAATCCTTTAGTTTAACTGTAGTGAGACTAAAGAGGTGCGCCATTGATGATACAGGCAATAATTTTGTTGATGTCCTAGCCAAATCTAACACACTAATATCCTTGGGAAGCTCGGAAAACTCGCCAAGAGATAAGCAGTGATCTAGACTAAAAGTACCAGAGACTTTCAGATTACAAGTGCTGCTTGGAAGTTTCTCAAGTTCTTTACAATCCTCAATATTAAACTCAGAAATTCTTTCATTAGACCAAACTGATAATGGCAACTCCTTTATACCAGAGCTTTGTAAACTTAAGAATTCGATATTGCCTGGCATCTCTAGGAGATAATTGAGACTCTTGCACCATCCCAGTTGAACATAAGTAAGCTTGTCTAGAAATTGAAAATACGAAGGAATTTCAACCAAACTTGTACAACCAAAAAGATTTAGATACTCAATCTTCAAACACTGAGAGAGATTTGGAATTTCAGTCAAATTGCTAGAGTAACTAAGATCAAGCACTTTTAAGCTCATAAGATTCTGTTACAAATGAAAGAGAAATAGTAAGAATTAATACTTTAGATTGAACAACATTCTGCCCTGCATGTTATAAGAAGTAAAATAAGCATATGTACCTGGCCTTTCTTCCAAAGTTGATCAACTAGGATGTGGGGCATTCGAAGCTCAACAAGATTTTCTGGAGAAAATTTTGACGGCAAAGATTTGAAAGGAAATCCACAGCAGTAAAGATAACAAAGAGAATTGGGAAGATCTAGAGAAAAGTTTAATTGGCCACAGCTAGAATTATCAACATTTAGGAACTTCGGTTGATTCATTTTTTTGAAATCTGCATGATTCAAGTGTTGTTCTTCAATCTCAGATACGTTAAAGAAAACGGCTTCAACAGCTGAAGTTCCTTGTCAATCAAGAGCAAATTATAAATTTGAATACAATACACAACAAAAGTTAACCAGAATTACATTTATAAGAATTTAACTTATTATAAATGAGTTTCTAATAGAAAGTTAATGACATTCTGTAAAGTTAATGCATTTGGCTTATACCATATTATTTTTCAATACATGATAGACATCCTTAGCATTGAACAACCTCTTACGTTTTCCAGGCTCTTCAACGCATTGTTCACGAACAATTGCCCGACCCATTTCCTGAAGCAAATCATGCATCTCTATGGTTTCCCGGGTTGAATCAATTGATATGAGAGACTTGTCAATGAGAACTCTAAAACTAAGGCGGGTGTCCTCACCTTTGAAACTAATAAACACATCACACTCTCGGGAGGAGAGGGTCTAGATAAAGGAGGAGAAGAAGAAGATGAAGCCATATCTCCCTATCCACAACCTGCACACCTACAAGTCAAAACATGCAAATTGGCTGTATATGAATAAGAAATGAGTGATCTTTCGACAGATAATTTATGCAACAGAAAAAGTCAGTTGGATTACCTCCGGAGTCCAGACCAAGATAGAAGTTGCCAAATATTACGACCAAAACAACCTAATTAAGAAGGCGTTGCACTGATCACGACGAAATTAAGCATGAGCTAGAAAGCAGTTGCAGAGATCCCTTTATGTTTTAACAATTGTAGTGACTATTTGCACAAGAACAATGTAGGAAAATCACCAGACGTTAACAAACAAAAAAGTTAAACTTAAAACTAAAATTAAAAAAATAGAAACTTCCAAGGAATTCAAGCCATGCAACTCTGACTATCTGGAGGCAACTCAACAAAACTGCACAAATTTAAAATTATCATGACAACATAACGAGGCCCTTTCGCACGGTTTTCGAACATTTTGCTCTTTGTTTTTCTCTTCGCAAAATTCTCAGTCTTCCAGCTTGACGTGTGCTCTATAGAAGACCATACTTTTTCAATGGAGAAAAAAAAAAATTCCAATTTATACGCTATTTGGTAGTTCAACTAATTTCATGAAATGTTTGAGGTAGAATACGTACCTTAAATCGTATTACAATCAAATTTCGGACGGGAATGATTTGTTTTATTTCTTTCGGTACATGGGAGAGCAGAAAGCACAAAACAAGAAAGACTACCACAGTTTTTAAATTAGACTACCAAGTCTACAATAGTTTTTTCTCTACAATCGAGCATAGTTGATCTTGCACCTCGAGTTTTGTTCTCTTTCGGGTACTGGTCATCCCCTTGTTTCTTACAAGGACTCAAAGTATCACTTCCGCTTGCTTCAGACTCATCACAACTTCTCAGACTTTTAGTATCTTCCATCACGCGACATCAGATTACTTAGTATCTTCAGCATACAACAGGCGGACGCCACACCTTTTTACCTTCACTGTGTATGAGTTAAGCGGTCTGTCATGATGATCTTTGGGGTAGAACTCAACAGATGCCTCAGTGACACCATTGTGAAGAGCAGTAGAGCATTGTGCTCCCCCCACAAGGTCAAATGTATTATACCACACAAACACGTGGTCCGAATTGAAATTGTAGCCGTTGCTTTCTTCACCTTGGGTTTCACCCCACAGTCGATCACACAAACGACAGCTAAATTCATGGCTTTTACCACTATTCCCTTTGAGTGTGGATTTACATCCGAACTCCAATCCTTGTTCAACATTATAGTTGTCAAATTCAACAAGAAGAGAGAAAACGAAGCCCAAGAAGTCTGACCCAAAACAATTTGGAGGAAGACGGATATTTATCGAAGATCCCTCATTTTGAGCTCCGGACCAATTAGGAATTTCATTTCCTGGACATACAATGGTAACTAAAGAATTTCCATCCAACGATTCCACATTGTGTGACGCCGCCATTCGTAAAATTCGAAGATGTGCGTCATCCATTATGCTGTTCCGCGCATTCTCATCCAATTTCAAGCAACCAGAAAATATAAGTTTCTCGGGGATCGTTCCATAAACTCCATGTTCATAATCATCACGACCTTGTACAAGTTGAGTCCTTAAACTTGACACTTTCTCCAGAGAAGTGCAACCATGTGCTTCCAGCCAACGTACCCCTGGGAGCTCGGGTAAAGATCGAAGGCTTTTGCAATTATTTAACAACAGGCAAGACAGCCGAGAAGCTTGTTTGATGCTTGCTGGTATCCACTTAACCATGGTTCCTCTTAGATCTAATCCTCGTAATGAGGTTAAGCAAACGAGGCGATCAGGGATTTCTAATATACCGGAATAACTGAGAGTTGCTTCTTCCAAATCGTTCAAGCCAAATGAGGATGAAGGCAATTTTATAAGTTTAGAACAGCCATCAAAACTGAGAGTTCTAAGACAGTTTAAATTGTACATGCTGCTTGGGACAAACTCAAGCTTCTTGCACAGACGGAGATCTAATGTTTCAAGCCCAATTAGATTTTCGATTGATGAGGGCAGCTCTTTAACTGCTGTCCTTCTTAAACTAAGAAACTCTAGACGTTCCATAGGCTCCAAGATTTCAGGGAAACAGTTGAATCTACAGCACTCTTTCAGGTTAAGCTTCCAAAGGGATTTCAACTTACAAATGCTCTTCGGGAGACTCATGAATCTTTGGCAATTTTTCAAGTCAATGATTAGGAGATGAGAGAGAAATTCGATTGATGAAGGTAGCTCTTTAACTGCTGTTCCCTTTAATGAAAGAAACTTCAGATGTTCCATAGGCTCCAAAATTTCTGGGAAGCATTCAAATTTAGAGCAACCAGTGAGATCAAGTACCTCAAGACATTTCAACTTACATATGCTCGTAGGGAGACTGACGAGACTTTTGCAATCTTTCAGTCCAATTTCAGTAAGACCAAAGAGACACTCAATTGATGAAGGCAATGTTTCTATTGCTGTCCCATTCAAAAATAACTCTTGTATATCCCTAGGAAGCTCCCAAACCTTGCGAAGTGATGAGCAGCCCTCTATACTAAACCGAAAGGGGAATTTCAGCTGGCAACTGCAGCTTGGAAGATTCTCAAGATCTTTACAAAATTCGATATCCAGGTGAGAAAGATTTTCGTTTGACCAAACTGATGAAGGCAATTCCCTTATTGCAGTCTCTGACAAATATAAGGTTTTAATGCTGATTGGCAACTCCGGAAGATATTTGAGATTCGAGCATCCTCTCAGCCCAAGAAAACTAAGTTTGTCAAGATATTGAAAATACGAAGGAATTTCAACCAAACTTTTACAGCAACCAAGATTTATATGTTCAATTTTTCGACTCAGGGAGAGATCTGGAATTTCAGTCAGGCGTTTGGAGAAGCTAAAATCAATCACTTTTAAATTCGCAAGTTTCTGTAGAAAGAAAAGAGGAATGACAAGAATGCATAACAAAGCCAGATAATTCCACACTAAGTTTTTGACAAGAACTAAAATAAGAATATATACCTGGCCTTTACTCCAAAGCTGTTCGACTTGACTGTGGGCCATTTGAATGTTAACGAGATTCTGAGGAGAAAATTTTGATGGAAAATATTTCAAAGGGTATCCCTCCCAGTGAAGATAACTAAGCGTATCGGGAAGAGACTGAAGACCTTCAGGAAGGTACAATTTGCTGCACTTATTGTCCAAGCTAGAAGAATCATAGATCTCCAGCACTCTCAGATTATACATCTTTTTGAAGGCTGCGGCATTCAAGTGTAGCTCTTTAATCTTAGACATATTAAAGAATATGCATTCAACTGTTGCAGTTCCCTGACAAACAAAAGACCAGAAGTATAAACGAGGATGCAGTAGACAACAAAATATTCTGATTTTTTTTTAATCATAAATGAGTACTTCTTGGTGTCTTTCATAGAATTCAAGATTTTTTTTCTTTTCTTTTTTTTTTTTATAGAAAAAGAAAATGAATGCATTTGGCTCTTACTGTATTATTCTTCAATACATGAGAGACATCCTCCTCAATGAATAACCTACTGCGTTTTCCGGGCTCCTCAATACACTGCTCACGAACCATTTCCAGTCCCATTTCTTGTAGTAAATCATGCATTTCTAGGCAGTTCATTGAAATTGAAATGAGAGACTTATCAATGAGAACTTTAATACCTCCTGCAAAAAAACCACGAATATCTAACATTTCTTTTGCAAGACGTATATCCATCCCTTTGTAAAAACATGCTATATCAAGAAATATCTCCTTTGCATTTTTTTCTAATCCATCGTAACTTAGTCTCAACACATTCTGAATTTTACGGTTGGGAAACTTTTTCAACTCGTTCAATTGATCTTCCCAGTCTTGTTTGCTCTCGCAGTGAAGGAATAAGGAGCCCAAAATTATAAGAGCTAGTGGTATGCCTCCGGCATAATCGACCACCATTCTTGACAACTCTGTATAATATGACCCCATAGAGTCATTTTTGAAAGCGTGCAAATGAAAGAGCTGAAGAGCTTCATCACACCTTAATCCCTCAACCTTGAATATCTTGTCAGCATCAGCCATTTTCTTAAGTAGTCGTCTGTCTCTAGTTGTTATAATGATTCGACTTCCGCAACCAAACTGAATATCATCACCAACTAGAAGTTCCAATTGGCTTGAATCATTCACATCGTCAAGAACAATGAGTACCTTTGTACGGCTGAGCCTTTCTCGAACAAAACTTCGTCCTATAGATGGAGTGTCAATATTTAGATCTTTTTCGTTTAGCATCTGACGAAGAAGTACATTCCGCAAGTGCTTTAGTCCATGTCTTTCTGACTCCTCCCTCACATTTGGAAGAAAACATGAAGCCTCAAATTTAGAAGTGAGTCGGTGAAAAACAGCTTCAGCAAGGGTAGTCTTGCCAATACCACCCATTCCCCAAATACCCACAGTGCAAACATCTGGTGAATCAATGCATAATAATGATTCAATTTGCTCAACCAGACGATATACCAATCGAAGTGTGGAAACTTTTGGGAGAGACAGGTATAACATGGCTCACTGACCTTTTCAATAGGATTTTGAAAACGAAGAAGATGCCAAATGAGTGGCGAATGAGCACTTTGGTGCCTATCTACAAGAATAAGGGCGACGTACAAAATTGCATGAACTATAGGGGTATTAAGCTAATGAGTCATACAATGAAGCTCTGGGAGAGAGTCATTGAGCATAGATTGAGGCAAGAGACACGGGTTTCGGACAACCAATTCGGGTTCATGCCAGGGCGCTCAACCATGGAGGCAATCTATCTCTTACGAAGATTGATGGAAAGATATAGAGATGGGAAAAAAGGATTTACACATGGTCTTTATAGATTTGGAAAAAGCGTATGATAGGGTCCCAAGAGACATTCTTTGGAGGATTTTAGAGAAGAAAGGAGTACGAGTAGCATATATCCAAGCTATAAAGGATATGTATGAAGGAGCAAAGACTGCCGTAAGAACTCATGAAGGACAAACCGAAAGCTTTCCCATAACTGTAGGATTACATCAAGGCTCATCCTTAAGTCCTTACCTTTTTGCGTTGGTAATGGATGAGTTAACACGACATATTCAAGATGATATTCCTTGGTGTATGCTTTTCGCAGACGATATAGTGTTGATAGATGAAACTCAGGAAGGGGTAAATGCAAAGCTTAACCTTTGGAGAGAAGTGTTGGAATCTAAAGGTCTTCGCCTAAGCCGATCAAAGACAGAATATATGGAGTGCAAGTTCAGTGCAAATGGAGGCCAAAACGAGTTAGGGGTGAGGATCGGAGATCAAGAAATACCAAAGAGCGACCGTTTTCGTTACCTAGGATCTATCTTGCAAAAGAACGGAGAATTAGATGGAGATCTCAACCATAGAATACAAGCTGGATGGATGAAGTGGAAGAGTGCATCCGGCGTGTTGTGTGACCGCCGTATGCCACTGAAGCTCAAGGGAAAATTTTATAGGACGGCACGGCAATAAGGCCGGCGATGCTGTATGGCACAGAATGTTGGGCGGTGAAACATCAACACGTACACAAAATGGGTGTAGCGGAGATGAGGATGCTTCGTTGGATGTGTGGGCACACGAGAAAGGATAAGATTAGGAATGAGGATATCCGGGGTAAAGTAGGAGTAGCCGAAATTGAAGGAAAGATGAGAGAAAATCGGTTACGGTGGTTTGGACATGTGCAAAGAAGGCCTACTGACGCTCCGATTAGAAGATGCGACTATGGGACAGAGGTTCAGGGCCGAAGGGGTAGAGGAAGACCTAGGAAAACTTTGGAAGAGACTCTAAGAAAAGACTTAGAGTACTTGGATCTAACGAAGGACATGACACAGGATCGAGCACAATGGCGTTCTAAGATTCATATAGCCGATCCCACTCAGTGACTTGGATTTTCCAAGTCTCCAACCGAGAAGTTTTCCTCACTCGGGAAATTAAGGGAACACTACCCCAACCTACATGCTCCACTCAGAAAGCTTCAACATACAAGCTTCAACAAAAGAAAATTCAAAGAACTTAGCGAAGAAGGCTTTGGTGTATTTAACACAATACGTTGAAATGAAGGAAAGCTTATTTATTGATATCCCCGATAAGCTACAAATATGTACATATACATGAGTCAAAATAAACACACAAGAGGGAGCCTTCACAAAGGTTGCTTAGGAGAAGTCTCAGCAGTCGGTAGAGCCCCAGAAAGAGAAGGCACCGGAGGGGGATCATTTGGAGCCTCAGTACTGGACAGAACCCTAGAAGGAGGAGGCATCAGAGGTTGATCATTTGGAGCTTCATTACGCGGTACAGCCCCAGAAGACGAAGGCAATAAATGCCTTTGGAACAAACCCACAAATCTCTGATGATCAAGTAAAACCTGACCATCAGTTTCCTTCATCTGGTCAAGCTTCCTCTTCATGTTTGTAGCATAGTCATGTGCGAGCCGGTGCAACTGTTTATTCTCATGCTTGAGCCCTCTAATCTCCTGTTTGAGACTCATCACTTCAGCCGCCAATGATTCAACTTGGCGGGTTCGAGCAAATAGGCGTTGGGCCATATTAGACACAGAACCTGCACACTGAACACTGAGAGCCAGCGAATCCTTAACAGCTAACTCATCAGACCGTTTGGAAAGTAGTCTGTTATCTTTGGGAGTGAGAAGGTTCCTGGCCACCACCGCAGCGGTCATATCATTCTTCATCACGGAATCCCCAACGGTAAGAGGACCAGTAGGGGAGACGAAGGATGGGCGCCATATGTTGTCTGGAGAAGGCGGGGCTGCCTCTTCAACAAGGTTCAAGTCAAAACGACGGTCGGAGGGGCCAGACATTTTCAAAGGTGTTGAAGAGAGAAGAGGTCGGACAAATCAAGATCTTAGAAGTGCAAGAATGAAGCTTCTACTGGTGGAGATTCAAGTGTGCTTTGGAACTTAATGCCAGCCCCTATAAAAAATCTGCACTCGACGGAAGCTTCAGAAATCGAAAGAGGCGCCTGCTCAGAAATCGAAGAGGCGTTTGCTTTCTCAAAAGCTGGGCTGCTGCTTAGAGATCACGAGGGTTGATCTCAGAAATCGAAGAGGCGTTTGCTTTCTCAAAAGTTGGGCTGCTCAAAGACCACGAAGGCCGATCTCAGAAATCGAAGAGGCGCTCGCTTTCTCAAAAGCTGGGCTCCCCAGAGACCACGAGGGCCGATCTCAGAAATCGAAGAGGCACCTACTTTTCCAGCCTTGTCAGCACCTGTCACACGCACACTCAGCTTTGCGGAAATTATGGGCATTCTGTCAAAGACTTCTGGGGAAGTAGAAAACACATGAATCTTACTGTTCAATCACCCACTTCCCACACGCAACAATAGCTCATGGGTACCACAGATAACTTTGCCAAAGTTCTCTGCCAAAGTTGAGCACGTGAAGCTTGCAGCTCCCACTACATCGCTCTGACCAAGAAGGGTAAAAGAATAGCAAAGAAACAGCACTAACAAAGTTTAGACCCATAAATTTTGAAGGTCTAGCTACCATATTATTACCCACAAGGGTAAAGGAACAGTACCACTGCTGGATAATTGGAAAGTCCCTGTGTGTCAACCTCTGTGCTTCGTGGCAAGGTAGACTAGCAAACATGCCCAACCTTTACTCACATTCGAGAAAACACTCCCAATAAGATTGCTTGCTCCAAAATCGAAGAGGCACCGTCCTCCGAATCTCGAGAGCCAGACTCCCAACATGACTACTTTCTTAAAAATCGAAGAGAGGGTAAAGGAACAGTACCATTGCTGGATAATTGGAAAGTCCCTGTGTGTCAACCTCTGTGCTTCGTGGCAAGGTAGACTAGCAAACATGCCCAACCTTTACTCACATTCGAGAAAACACTCCCAACAAGATTGCTTGCTCCAAAATCGAAGAGGCACCGCCCTCCGAATCTCGAGAGCCAGACTCCCAACATGATTACTTTCTCAAAAATCGAAGAGACACTGCTCCCCGAATCTCGAGAGCCAGACCCCCAGCATGATTGCTTTCTCAAAAATCGATGAGGCATCGTTCTCCGAATCAATCGAAGAGGCGCTCGCTTTCTCAAAAGCTGGGCTGCTCAGAGACCACGAGGGCCGATCTCAGAAATCGAAGAGGCACCTACTTTTCTAGCCTTGTCAGCACCTGTCACACGCACACTCAGCTTTGCAGAAATTATGGGCATTCTGTCGAAGACTTCTGGTGAAGTAGAAAGCACATGAATCTTACTGTTCAATCACCCACTTCCCACACGCAACAATAGCTCATGGGTACCACAAATAACTTTGCCAAAGTTCTCTGCCAAAGTTGAGCACGTGAAGCTTGCAGCTCCCACTACATCGCTCTGACCAAGAAAGGTAAAAGAATAGCAAAGAAACAGCACTAACAAAGTTTAGACACATAAATTTTGAAGGTCTAGCTACCATATTATTACCCACAAGGGTAAAGGAACAGTACCACTGCTGGATAATTGGAAAGTCCCTGTGTGTCAACCTCTGTGCTTCGTGGCAAGGTAGACTAGCAAACATGCCCAACCTTTACTCACATTCGAGAAAACACTCCCAACAAGATTGCTTGCTCCAAAATCGAAGAGGCACCGTCCTCCGAATCTCGAGAGCCAGACTCCCAACATGACTACTTTCTCAAAATCGAAGAGAGGGTAAAGGAACAGTACCATTGCTGGATAATTGGAAAGTCCCTGTGTGTCAACCTTTGTGCTTCGTGGCAAGGTAGACTAGCAAACATGCCCAACCTTTACTCACATTCGAGACAACACTCCCAACAAGATTGCTTGCTCCAAAATCGAAGAGGCACCGCCCTCCGAATCTCGAGAGCCAGACTCCCAACATGATTACTTCCTCAAAAATCGAAGAGACACTGCTCTCCGAATCTCGAGAGTCAGACCCCCAGCATGATTGCTTTCTCAAAAATCGAAGAGGCATCGTTCTCCGAATCTCGAGAGCCAGATACCACAGACCACTTTTTCAAAGTGCTCTGACAGAGTTAAAACATGTGAAACTGGCAGCTCCCACTACCGTGCTATGACCAAGCAGGGTAAAGGAATAGCATTACTACTTGTTGTTAGGGAGACTCCTATATATGTCGACCTCCATCCCCAACGGACAGGCAGACCTGCAAAAATGCTCAACCCTTCATCATATCTGAGAGGGCACTCCCAACGAAGCCTTTCGAAATATTCAGCTTTCTTTCCCCCCGATAATACCTCTGCAAACAAGCTATACTAGAGCAAGAATATCTCATATCATCAGGGTTAAAAGCAAGAGTATCCCATATCATGCTTTTTCCCTGTCTTTTCTTTTGGCCTTGTTTTTACCTGCAAGACAAGGAGAAAGAGAGCAATCAGTCAGCACTTGGAATCAAGCTTCCAGCCAGGAACTGACTGCCTGGAACCCCTTACCTGATTACTTACCTGGCATTGCTCTCGAGTACTCATCTTCA